GGGAAATTTTGTGTGTGTTCCTATATTCTCACAAATAAAAGAATATAAAATGCTACAACAAAGATAATAGAAACAGATGATCTCTGGCCTGCCTGTCTGGTTATTTTTCTGTAAAGCAGATAATGTCAGTTGCCTTCATAATTAATTCCTATTAATTTGATCCTGTTCCAATTTGAATCCTGCCTCCTCCCCCCACCAAAACGAAAGAAAGTAAAATATGCCAAGATCTTTTATTAACATATCATAGATGTTCTTTTCATTATAAATCAAACTAAATAGGTCGTGATTGCTTAATCAGTATGCAAAGTACTGCCTCTGGGAATCACCTGTGTTCCTCTGACAGCTAAACTTCCTTTCAGTGTCTTGGATTCTTATTTTATCCAACCTAACCCATTTCCTCATATCAAAATTTTCATCATATGAAGTACAGAGCATGCTCTAGAATAGATGGGCACTAGTAATAGGGAACTCATGACTTTGGGGGACTAGATTATGTTATCACCATTTTCCAACATCTCCCTTTGTTCAGCAACCAATAATCAAGGGTGGGAAGAAAGTATTCTCCAGAAATTATGTTGTTGATACATATTTGCCTCTCTTTCAAGAAGATGACTGATTCTTCCTTACAGAGGACAGTTTATATCATTTCCAAAGTCGATCATCATTCCTCCCTATTAGATAATCTCTGATGAAATGTCATCCAGTTCCTTGACTCAGTGCAACAAGTCAATGACTCCTTAATGTCTTTTGTAGGGACTTTTCTTCCAATTTACCCTCTTAGTACATTAACTCATTTGCCGATTAGACATTTCATAATTCCATAACCGACACAGAATTCTTGGGATTCCCAACCAGAATTTTGTCTCAGAACAGAAAATATGTCTGCAGGGTCTTATTTCATACACATTAACATTGGATCCTCACTAATTTATAGGAAGGAATATGATCTCATTTCATGTGTGCAAGGGGCCTGAATTCCAACCCAAGCAATTCAAAAATTCAAATTCAAAACCCTGTGACATGTATTGACAATAAAATGATGCTGACTGATCAATAAGTTGATGTAACTGAAGCAAGGGGACTTAGTAGTTTATATGATTACATGAATTTCAACAAACACATACCAGAGAAGAATGGAAGAAAGCCTAATTGTGCCAAGACCCCAAAGTTTACTGATAATATTATCTGAAGGCATATAAATATAGGAGTTGAACTTAATGATTGTTACGCACTTTGGAATTTACACTCATGGGTCTCTAAGCATATGTTTTGGCTGCTAATGCTCGAAGCTCTGACAGAAAAGCAGTCCTTCTCTTCCTGACAAGCCAAACTTAACAGGTAAATTCAAGACCCCAAACTCTGTAGACGCTTATCTCTCAAACCTCATCCTGGTGGACTCCTTTAGGGATGACTGAATAGCAGAGTTATATTCTTATAATGTGGATTACCCTCTATAAAGCAAGTTACAATTATATGTGACCAGCAAGAATGGTAAATGAAAAAAACCTCATCACCTACATGGAAGTTAGCACCCTGAGATCCGAACTGACCTCTACAAGATCCTAACTCTAAGTCCCCATTGTCACAAGCAGGGCAATACTTATACAATACCCCAAAAGAAAGATCTTAGTCACATTAAGTTGATTAATGTCCTTTATTCCTCAATCCCCAAAATATTGAAATTACATTGATCAGCACTAAATCTATCCCATCTTTATCTACTCCTTTCCTTCATCATCCTCACCTCTGGATGACTACAATCATCTCATAAATAATTTTCTAGTTCCTACTCCTGCCCTCTTCAATCTCTTTTACACAAAGTGATCAGAATGATTCTTTAAAAAGATAAAATGTGGGGCTGGAGTGACAGCACAGCGGGTAGGGTGTTTGCCTTGCACCTGGCCAACCCAGGCTCAATAATTCCCAGCATCCCATGTGGTCCTCTGAGCACCGCCAGGAGTGCAGATCCAGGAGTGAACTCTGTGCATCGCCGGGTGGGTATGGACCCCCCCCCAAAAAAAAAGGTAAAATGTTTAATTCAAACTTTTTCAATAGTATCCAAAACCTTTGGAATAAAACTCCTACTCTTAACCCTTGGTCTGGGACACCACAGAGACTGGAATGGAATTCCTTATCGCATTCCACACATAACACTTCCTTTTGGCTCCTGAAACCTGTAAAGCTGGTTAGTTCTTGCCTTGAGCACTTCACAAGTTTTGCTTGGGCCTGAAAACTTGCCCCAATATCCTCACAATTCTGGATCTTTCCTGTCATTCCAGTCTCAGTCAGAGTAGCCTCCAAGGACAGGCTGCCTCTGACAGGAACATGGCGGAAACAGTTACTTCCTACTCTGCCAACTCCCTCTGTCCCATTCTTATCGTAGCACTCCGTGATAGTTCATGGTTTGTTATGTTTTTTTTTTTTTGCTCTATTTCCTTTCAACACTCAAAGAGAATAGGAAGTTAAACTACTGCATGAAATTTTATATCCTGAGGGCTCAGAATAGCCTCTGGGTAATAAAACCTAAAATAGATACCCATGAATATTTAGCAAATAAATACTCCAATCCCTTTAATGGCATTCTGCTGTCTGTGGATAAAGAATAACACTAGTATAACAGATGCCATGTGGTCCTGTGCAATATGACCCCTGCCCCTTCTCTGGCTAGCTCAATACCCAAAAGTTACCAAACAATTTTCCTGGGGAGGAGCCAGGAACAGGCAATGCCCCCAAGAGAGACCCCTGACTTCAGTGCCTGCTTACATTCCATACCTGATATATTTAGTCCCATCCTTCAGAGGCTTGCTTAAAAACCTTGAGAACCTTTCCTTGAGACCCAAGGTACACTTCAGTCTCCTGAGGGCAGTCACGTAATACACTACATTTCCCTTCACATTACTTTTTTTATTTATCCAAGAAGTGATTTGTGTAATAGCATAAATAGAAACAAAAATATATTTCTCTCTTTCTGAATACGCTAGGAACTCCATAACTCTAGGGAGTAAATGTCTTCTATTTATCTAACAATAACAAAAATGCTAAGAATGCTGCCTGACTGCAAAACCAATTTGTTTTTCAAACACAGGAAAAACACAAATTATTGCTTTGGTCAAGGTCGTTTAGGTCAACAACAGAGGGCATATCTGATGGTGGAGCTGTATCATTTAGCTTTATCATAGTATACTGAATACTATAATACTTAGGGTTGTGCAAACACACTTTATAATGCTCACACAATGACGGAATTTCTCAGAACACATCCTGTTATTAAGCGACACGCTATCAGAGATGTCATGGCTAAACATATTCCTTGAACGTGCCCCAGGATAACTCTGAATTTTCTACTTCTGCCAACCCACCCCCATCAGACTTGGAGGAAGCCTGCCTACTGCCAGGTAGCCTCGCCTTCCTGTCCTCAACAACAGAATTCCTGCTCCTCCATTCGATTCTCTCATTTCTGAAATGTGGTTAAAGAGGTCGTGGAGACATATTCTGCCTGGTAACTACAGCCCAGAAGAAGATGAAGATCGGTGTGACATGAATCCCTTGAACCTGGATTAAAAACAAAGGCAAACAGACTGAGGGTATTGGAGACTGCTCAGCCTCACATTCCCAGGGTCCTTATTTTGATATAGGAAGCTACATTGCAAAGACAGAAGCCAAACTTACCGCTATACAAGTTAATTTAATTTAGTGCTCAAATTTAATTATGCTTTTTAGGAGATTATTCATATGGCACTGTACAGAATAAGTTTATATATTTTAAATTGATAAATAACAACATTTGGTCATTTATGTTGGTCTATAATTTCCATCATCAGGTTGGGAAAAGTTGGTGAGTCCCTGGAGATAAGCTGATGGGCCTTCCCGGGTCCATCGTATCCTACTCTGGACTGTGTCCTGATGCTATATGAATGAGAACTTGGGAGCACAAAGGCACAGATAATTAGCCCAAGACTCAGAGCTAGAGAGATAGCTCAATAAGCCAAGAATATGGGCTGCACATAGGACACCAGAATTCGATCCCCAGGACTACATGGTCCCCTGAGTACCAGGGGGAGAGAGCCCTAAGCACCATGAGGTATGGCCCGTAAAACGAACAATAGAATTGTGAGGCTGTTCCTGGGGGGAGAACATTCCCCTCCCACCTTAAACTAAAGAACCACAAGTGGAGAGACCCAGGATCATTTTGGATCTAACACAGTACACTAAAGGATATCTTCACATAGGTACAAGTGTGTGTGTGTGTGTGTGTGTGTGTGTGTGTGTGTGTGTGTGTCAGTGCGCGCGCACGCACACACACAAATGTATTTATATATTTCCATTATCTCAGATGGCTTTAAAACTATAAATTTTCAGGGCTGGAGTGATAGCACAGCGGGCAGGGCATTGCCTTGCACACGGCCGACCTGGGTTTGATTCCCAGCATCCCATATGTTCCCCCGAGCACTGCCAGAGTAATTCCTGAGTGCAAAGCCAGGAGTAACCCCTGACCATTGCCGGGTGTGACCCAAAAAACAAAAATAAATAAATAAATAAATAAAATAAAACTATAATTTTTCAAAAATAGTAAGAATGGAAAACAAATTCCCAAATTAAAAAGGTACAGGAGTTTTAGGGGTTGAAGTGATAGAATCTGATAGGGTATTTGCCTTGCACACAGCAAACCTATATTCACCACCACATATGGTTTCCTCTGAGCCCCACCAGGAGTGATTCCTGAACACAGAGCAAGGAGCAAGTCCTGAGCACCTCCAGGTGTGGCCCCCCCCCAAAAAAAAAGGTCTGACTGAAAAGAGCATTTTGGTGGATAAGACTTAAGTTCCTGAAGCTATTTTATAGTCAGTTTCAAATGCAATGTATTTAATGATATTCATATTTATATCTTTTGCTCCTTGAGAAAAGTTTTTCTAGTCCCGAATACACAAAGCTGTGGAAACAAAAGCAGAATGGCCAAATGGTAGCTCAAGCAATTTTTAAAATTCAGTTGATATACTTACGCAGTGGTAGTTTGCATGTCATGCCAACTTTTGCTGAAGTTCTGCTTTAATTCATTCATCAGGTTCATGCCGAGTTTTTGTTTTATTTCAACCAGATGTCTTTCTTTTGCTGATAAAACTTGTCGAAGAGTAGTGATTTCGTCTTCCAACTTCATGCGGGTAGAAAAAGGTGGGAAATATGTTAGAACAAGAGAAAAGTACATATATAAAAAGTTCTACTTTCTCCTGCTTCTGCTTCCTCAGGCCCATACTTGGCTGGAGCAAATATGTCATATGTAGATGAAAAGTTAATAAAAAGTCAAAGAAACAGGAACTCCCAAAACTCTTTCTATGAGATACGCATTATTCTGACACCAAAAGCAGCCAGAGTGCATACTATAAAAAGAAATGTTATGAACCTATATTTAGTATAGGTATGGATGCAAAGATCAATGTATAAATCGCAAAGATGCAAATATAGTTGCAAAGATCCTAAATACATATTAGAAAATCAAAAACAATAATCATCAAAAAGATCATATACTCTAATGAAGTGGAATTCATCCCTGACGCCATAATGATTTAATATATGCAAGTCAATCAACACAATAACACAGCATATCAATACAAGGAAAAGTACAAATCATATGGTCAAATGGAGAGGAAGCATATGATAAGCTCCAATGCCCATTCATGATTAAAAACTCAATAAAATGGAAATAGAAGAGAACTTTCCTCAATATAGTTAAAGTCATTTGCCTCAAACACACAGTGAACATCATACTCAATGGTGAAAAACTAAACATCTCCCTTCTAACTTCAAGCACAAGACAAGGTTGCCCATACTCACCACCAATATTCAACATAGATAGTGATTGGGTAAGATAGTGATATTAAGAGTATCCCAATCGTAAAATAAGTCAAACTATCACTATTTACTGATAACATGACACTAAGAAATTCCTGAAGATGCTACAAAAAATAACTCCTATAGAAAATAAATTTATGCAGTAGTGTAACAGGCTAAAAAATATCAACAGAAATCTATTACACTCTTATCTGCAAATACTAGAATACATGTAGCCCTGTAGCACTGTCCTCCCATTGTTCATAAATTTGCTCGAGTGGGCCCAGTAACGTCTCCATTGTGAAACTTGTTTCTGTGTTTGGCATATCAAATACATCACGGGTAGCTTGCCATACAAGATACTCTCAATAGCTTGCCAGGCTCTCTGAGAGGAGTGGAAGAATCAAACTCGGGTGCAAGGCAAATGCCCTACCCACTGTGCTATTGTTCCAGTAAATTAAAATCCCATTCACAGTTGTGCCTACAAAAAAAAAAAAAGAATCAAGTAGCTGGAACTCAGCTTAATGAAAGAGAGGGAAAAAAACATAATTCACTTCTAAAAATTTAAATGAGGAATGGAAGCGTATCCTCTGCTCAAGGATTAGAAGGATTAATATCGTCAAAATGACATTCCTACTCAAAGTATATACAGATTCATGCATTTACTATAAAAATGCCCATCCAATTTTTAAAAGATATAGACCAAAGGCTGGCAAAATTTATATGGAGTATACAACCCCCAGCCCAACACCTACACACATACACAGCCAAAGCAGTCCTCAGAAAAAATAAGATGGGAGATATTTCTTTCCAATATTTTATTATTAAGCTATAGTAATCAAGACAGTGTGGTACTGGGATAAGGATAGATCCCAGACCGACAGAACTGAACTGAGCCCCAGAGACTCTCAGGAATACTTGGCCATCTAATCTTTAACAAAGGAGCTAAAATTATGAAGTAGACTAAGGAAAGCATCTTCAGCAAATAGTGTTGAGAAATCTTGTCAGTTATATGTTGTTGTTGTTGCTGTTGTTGTTTTAAAAAAAAGAACTCAGGGCCATATCTCATACCATGTATAAAAGTCAACTCAAAATGGGTTGAAGACTTTAATACCAGACCTGATTCCATAAACTATATTGATGGAAATATAGGCAGAACTCTTCATAATTGAATCTAAGAGATATCTTTAATGATTTGGTTTCACTGGCCAAGCTACGAGAGGATAGAAAGATAGTACAGAGATTAAAATGACTCACAGAATCAGACTTGTGAGTGGGAATCAAATAGGGGAGGAAGAAAGTAGGGTGGAGGGAAGTGTACACTGGTGAAGGGACAGGTGGTGAAACACTGCATACCTGAAACCCAATTATGAATAACCCAGTGACAAAATTTTAAAAAAGAAGTAACTAAAAGAGTAAGGCTTGAACTTTTAAATGACACAGCAATTCAATTTCTTGGCATCTACCCCAAAGGCCCAAGAGTCCTTTTCAAAGAAACATTTGTGATATTTTATTCATTGTAGCACTATTCATCGTAGTCAAAATCTGGAAACAACCCAAGTCCAAGAAGAGATGATTGGATTTAAAAAAAAAAACTATGGCACACATCATACACTCTGCCATAAGGAAAAACAAATCATGCAATTGTCTGCTACATAGATGGATCTAAAGAATACTATGCTGAGTGAAGCCAATCAGAAGAAGGATAAATGCACAATTATGTCTTTCATATGTGGAATATAATGATATGTAGTAAGGTAGAAACAAATGGCCAAATACAACAGAATCTGAGAACTGATCAAAAACAGCTTACCGGGACTGGAGCAATAGCACAGCAGGTAAGGTATTTGCTTTGCACGCAGCCGACCCGGGTTCAATTCCCAGCATCCCATATGGTCCCCTGAGCACTGCCAGGAGTAATTCCTGAGTGCATGATCCAGGAGTGACCCCTGTGCCTCGTGGGGTTTGACCCATAGAGTAAAAAACAAACAAACAAAAACAGCTTGCCATGGCAGCAATATGGAGGAGAGAGGGGAAGAAGCAGGGATAAGGGTAGGGAGGCCCCTGAGACAGTGGTAGAGGGAAATAAACACTGGTGGAGAATGTGGGTTTGAAATGCTGTATATCATAAACAGTGGCGAAATCGTGGTGACTGAAATAAAATTTTAAAAATAAATAGATGTTTTCATTTTTGTCAGTGTTGTTTTGTGGTACTAGGGATTGAACCCAGAACCTCACACATTCAAGTTCTGTATTGTTGATTGAGCTATAACCACCATCCTTCGGTGTCTTAGTTTAATGATTGCAAAAATAATTATTGATCCTTGTAAAAACATAGGTAATGGTAAAGGCCCTCCCGTTGTTCGTCGATTTGCTTGAGCGGGCCCAGTAACGTCTTCATTGGAGACTTTGTTGTTACTGTGTTTGGCATATCAAATACATCACGGGTAGCTTGCCAGGCTGTGCTGTGCGGGCGAGATACTCTCGGTAGCTTGCCAGGCTCTCCGAGAGGGTCGGAGGAATCGAACTCGGGTCGGCCATGTTGGCTGCGTGCAAGGCAAGCGCCCTACTGCTTGAAATAACATAGCACTGCATTTAGCACTGTCCTCCCGTTGTTCATCAATTTGCTCGAGCAGGCCCAGTAACGTCTCCATTGTGAGACTTGTTACTGTATTTGGCATATTGAATACTTCACGGGGAGCTTGCCAGACCCTCCAAGAAGGGCGGGGGAATCGAACCCGGGTCCACCGGGTGGCCATGTGCAAGGCAAACACCCTACCCGCTGTGCTATGGCTTCAGCCCAGAATAAAATAAAAACAGAAAAATTAAAATCAAATGTAATTTATTAGGAAGTAGTCACACAGAAAGAAGGACTAAAAGGGCTCCTGTGATACAAGAAGGAAAACACCCATAAGCACAACAAACACTTACAGAAGGATGGCACAAAACCCCATGACAATAATCTCTCTCATGGGAGACGAACACCCAAGAATAGTTAAGTACCAGAAGGTCTGCTCCACGGCCTGGAAGACGGCAGCACATGCTGGGGAAAAAGGTAGCTCAGATAGAGAAGGGAACACCAAGTAAAGGGAGTTTGGAGGATTCGCTTGGGATGTGAGATGCGTGCTGAAAGTAACTATAGACCGAACACGATGGCCACTCAATATCTCTATTGCAAACCACAACATCCTAAAGGAAATAGAGAGCAAATAAGAATGCCCTGCCACAGAGATGGGGTGGGGTGGGGTGGAGGGGATGGGTTGGGGTGGGGAGGTGGGAGAGCTACTGGGATCATTGGTGGTGGAGAATGGGCACTGGTGGAGGGATGGGTACTCAATCATTGTTTAACTGAAACCCAAGCATGAAAGTTTGTCATTCTACAATTGTACCTCATGATGTTTCACTAATAAAAATAAATAAATAAATCTTTTTAAAAAAGGAAGCAGTCACACATACTTAATTTTCTTGTCACCTCAAATCTTTCAAACATTCTAAAAGTGTACATATATATTATATTTTTAAAAAATTCTGGACTCACACCCAAGTAGTACTCAGGGGCTACCATGGTTTTGTGCCCAGGAGTGACCACCGACACCTCTTGGGGGACCTTATGTGGTGCCAGGTACCTGAACCCGGGTCAGAAAGATACCGTTTACCTTGTACTATCTCTCTAACCCTGTACATACATTTTTAAGTAAGATTAATGTTATGCTATGTCACATTGTAAACAACTTCTATTGCAGAGTCAAGTATCAGTATGCTTTGGTTATTTTGTGCTGACCATATATATCTTTATTGGTTCAGGCATGCATCAGACAGACACTAGTTTTACCATGCTAGTGTTTTTTCCAGGGAGAAACAAAGGTTTAGAGGGAGTAATATATGTTTCTTTTGTATGTCTGAAAGGCAGTGTTTTATATTGCTTTTTCTATTCAACATTTTTATTTATTTATAATGAGTATATACTGAACTACACATACTTCAAGTGCATTCCTGTAAGTTTTGACATATATATTCACCACTATAATCATAATAGTGTACATATCTGTCATCTCTAAAAATCTAATTCAACTTTTAATACCTCTCCACCTCTCTCCTTCTCTCTTCTTCATTGCTTCCTTCCCATACAATGATATTTCTTTCACTACAATTTAATGTGCTTTTTCTAGAAATATATATATATACAAATTGAACCTTACAGCATATATTAATGTTTCCCCAATTTTGTTGACTCAAATTTCTTAGAGATTCATCTATGTTGCTGCATTATAAATGGTTCTCTTTGTATTGCAGAGTTCCATTGTACACACTTATCATGGCTTT